TCCCTGTGCTCCAGCCTTGCTTTGTCCCTCTTTTGGGGGATAAACTTTGCAGGAGCTCCAGGCTGCACGTGGCAGCTCCCGATCCCTTTGTGGCTTTCTTGGAAAGGATTTTTTTTTTTTCCAGTTTGACCTTTCAGAAAAAAAAAAAAACAACCCAAAAAAACCCCAAAACCAAAAACAAAGTGGATTTTTAATGGATGCCGAAATTGTGAAACTTCACAACCCAATCCAAGGAATTTCAAAGCCCTTTTCTGTAGTTTTGTTTAGTGAGTGCACTTAAAAACCCTAAAGCTGAGAGATCTGTCAGTGAGCAGAGCTCCAGGGGAGAATTACAGCCTGCTCTGCATTTACCAGATAAGTGCATGTGGGACAGCCCCTCTTCCTCAGACTTTTTCAATCAAAAACCTTTTTGTGGAGCAGCTTTCCTGACCAGCAATTTTTTATAGAAAAAAAAGGAAGAAAAGGAAAAAAAAAAAAGCAGCCTCCAGGATGGTTTCTGTAGTTCTGTCCCAGCCTGTTCTTAAAACCAGCAGAGCCCAAACCGAGTTTAATTCTCGTTTTCTTCCTCCTGGCTGTGGCTCTGCCTTGTGCTGTTGGGATTATTGATGGCTAGAAATGCAAATTTCAGATGGTTTTCTTTTTAGGGTGGTTTTTGTGCATCACCCCCCGGAATTCCTGCTTTTTCCAGGAGCGTTCCGGGCAGTTCTGGGCAGTTCCAGGCTGTGTTTGGTGGTTGGGTCGGGGGAGATGATCCTGGGGGTGCAGAGGGAACGGCTGGAGATGCAGGGTGATCCCAGAGATCTGGGGCAGGAAGAGGGAAGATCCCAGGATGGGAAATCCGTGAGGAACGTTGTGCAGAGGTGCCCAGGAGCGGATCTGGAGAGGCCTGGCAGCTCCAGGGGGGTGACACCACTCCCGTGTGCAGGATTTGGGATCTCCAGGAGGATTTCCCAACCCTGATGGCAGCTGAGGAAGTTGGGTCTGTACCAGAAGCGGGGTGGGAAGGTGCTGACGGTGGAATTTGGGGTTTTGGGGTGTTTTGGGGTGTTGAAGGGCCGGAGTTTGTTCTTTCATCAAGCTGAGGTGTGATGTGGAGTGTTTGGAGCTGAGAGTCACCACGGGGTCGCTGGGTTCTCCTGGGGGAGGATGAAGCATCCCAAAGTGCTGGAATGTCCATCCATGGGGGCTGGCCTGGCTGCTCCCCTTCCCTCTTTTGGAGGGAGATGGAAAAGGGACCCTGGAAGAGCAGGAGAGCTCAGAAGGGAAAATCCAGGGCTGGAATTTCCAGGAAAAGGGACCCTGCAGGATTGGGAGAACTCAGAAGGGAAAATCCAGGGCTGGAATTTCCTGGAAAAGGGACCCTGGAAGAGCAGGAAAGCTCAGAAGAAAAGTCCTGGTGTGGATTTCCCTGGAAAAGGGACCCTGGAGGATTGGGAGAGCTCAGAAGGAAAAGTCCAGGGCTGGAATTTCCTGGAAAAGGGACCCTGGAGGGGCAGGAAAGCTCAGAAGGGAAAGTCCAGGGCTGGAATTTCCTGGAAAAGGGACCCTGGAAGAGAAGGAAAGCTTAGAAGAAAAGTCCAGGTGTGGATTTCCCTGGAAAAGGGATCCTGGAGGAGCAAGGGAGCTGAGATGGGAAAAGCTTCCTGTTGTATGCTGGTGTTTCCTTCCTATCTGACACCAAACTTCTATTTTTTCCACACTGAAGTTTGCCTAAAAAGTAATAAAATAATTTAATTTCTAATAACCAAAGGGTTTTCATCACCAGACATTTATTCCTCAGCTTTGCCACCTCCCAAGGGAATTTTCCCTGGACATTTGAAATAATTCTGAGATGGTTTTTTTCCCCCCATTGTCAGATGTAAATCCCAATTTTGCCTTTGAACACAAACACGTTGTTGCTGCTGTGGGGTTTTTGTTATTTCAGTTTATCCCTGAATGGAAGCACAACTTATCCACCTTTATTTTTTTTCTTGGAATTCTCATCTGTGAACTGAGAATCCTTAGGAGTCACTGATGTGACCCTGCTAAGAGACCCTGCAGCACTAGGTGGCACTCGGGCTCCAAATTTCAGATTTCAGCAGCCAAAACTCCACGAAACTTTAAGGAAAATCCTCCAGCATCGCTCCAGTGGTGCCTCTCCTGGAATCTGAGGAGGTTTTATCCCTTTAGATCAATCAGGAGAAGGAAATATCCTCCCCCTCACCTGCTCTGGGCTCTTTTACACTGAATTTAAAGAGGTTTGAAAGTTCTGGCGTTTTTGTTTTGCCACTGAGAATCTTTTACTGAGCCTGCAGAATTGAAATGGCCTGAAAGAATAAGAATTCAATCGATTTTCTCCAGCCTTCAGCTCTGTCTTGGTATTTTTCCCTGTTTCTTGGAGGTCTTGCAGGGATGGGATTCTCCAAAGGGAGCGCAGATCCCACTGCAGGAAAAGGATTTCCTGTGTCCACCTGGATTCCTGGAGCTGTGGTTCTTCCTGGGGTGTTGCTCCTCGCTGCTGTGATTAATGATTTTAAAATATTTTATTCTTACAGCTTGGTCAGATCTGTCATTCCCATTTTTCCTCTCTGGTCATTCCCATTTTTCCTCTCTGGTCATTCCCATCTTTCATCTCTGGTCATTCCCATCTTTTCTCTCTGGTCATTCCCATCTTTTCTCTCTGGTCATTCCCATCTTTCCTCTCTGGTCATTCCCATCTTTTCTCTCTGGTCATTCCCATCTTTCATCTCTGGTCATTCCCATCTTTTCTCTCTGGTCATTCCCATCTTTTCTCTCTGGTCATTCCCATCTTTCCTCTCTGGTCATTCCCCTTTTTCCTCTCTGATCATTCCCATCTTTTCTTTCTGGTCATTCCCATCTTTCATCTCTGGTCATTCCCATCTTTCATCTCTGGCCATTCCCATCTTTTCTCTCCAAAGGCTGCCTGGAATCCTCTCTGTCCCAGATTTGGTCCCAATACCCGACACAAGCTCAGATTCATAAACCTCACTCCAAACTTAACTCCTGGATTGGGAGGGAATTCAGGTTTAGGAGCCAGAACTTCCCAAAGGCAGGGCCAAGGGTGGGATTGCCACAATCCATTAAAAATATCTGTATTTGCTGTAAAAAAAACCAGGAAAACAACCCTGGAATTCCTGGAGTGTGACTTGGTCCCTCTGCTTTTTAGGGAAGCATTTGAAGGACAGAAATTCGGTTCCAACTTCCATCCTTTGGATTTGGTTTTAAGCTGAAGGAGGGCAGGGAGAGATGGGATCTTGGGAAGGAATTCCTGTCTGGAATTCCCAGATTTGCTGTGGCTGCCCCTGGATCCCTGGCAGTCCCAGGCTGGACACTGGGGCTTGGATCCACCTGGGATCCACCAGCCCATGGATGGGGTGGGATTTAAGATCCTTTCAATCCAAACAATCCTGGAATTCCAAGGTGGAATTCCAAGTTACTGGGTGTGGAGATCTTGGGCTGGGGTGGCCCCACCAGCTCTGTTGTCTTTTATCAACAGGGTTAAAACTGCTGGCAAAATTTGGGATGAGAAGGGAAAATTTGGGATGGGATTTTGGCAGCTGTGGAGATCCTGGTTTCCATTGTCCCTTTTACCCTTGGAGCCCAAAGAACATCCAGGGGATTTTCCAGGAGGGATTTCTGGACAGGGGGATCAGAGATAAAGATCAGGCTCCAAGATAAAATCTTTGTTTGAGGTGCTCCTGGCCTGGTCTGGTCTCTCATGGAACACCAAGTGGTGGAAAAAGGGAAAAAAGGTTGGAATAGAAACATTTTGGGCTTGGTTTGTCTCTCAGGGATCAACAAAATGGTGGGATAAGGAAAAAAAGTTGGAATAGAAACATTTTGGGGTCGGTTTGGGCTGTTCTGGTTTCTCAGGGAACGCGAAAATGGTGGAAAAGAAATGTTTGGAATAGAAACATTTCAGATCCTCCTGGATTGTTCCGGTCAAGTACAAGAAACAATTTCATGTTTCTCTCAGGGACCATGAAATCGGTGGAAAAAGGAAAGGAAGACTTGGAATAGAAACATTTTGGGCTTGGTTTGTCTCTGGGGAACACCAAAATTGGTGGAAAAAAGAAGAAAAGTTGGGATAGAAACATTTTGGGCTCAGTTTGGGGTGTTCTGGTTTCTCAGAGAACACCAAAGAGTGGGAAAAGGAAAAAAAGGTTGTAATAGAAATGTTCTGGGCTTGGTTTGTCTCTCAGGGAACACCAAAATGGTGGAAAAAGGAAGAAATGTTTGGAATAGAAACATTTCAAGTCCTCTTGAGTTGTTCTGGTCAAGGACAAGAAACAATTTCATGTTTCTGTCAGGGAACATGAAATGGGTGGAGAAAGGAAAGGAAGACTTGGAATAGAAACATTTTGGGCTTGGTTTGTCTAGCAAGGAACACCAAAATGGTGGAAAAAGAAAGAAATATTTGGAATAGAAACATTTCAAGTCCTCTTGAGTTGTTCTGGTTTCTCAGGGAACATGAAATGGTGACAAAATGAATAAAGTTTGGAATAGAAACATTTCAGGTCCTCCTGGCCTCTTCTGGTCAAGGACAAGAAACAATTTCATGTTTCTCTCAGGGAGCACGAAATGGGTGGAAAAAGGAAAAAAAAGGTTGGGATAGAAACATTTTGGGCTTGGTTTGAGCTGTTCTGGTTTCTCATGGAACATGAAATGGTGGAAAAGGAAAAAATGTCTGGAATAGGAACATTTCAGGTCCTCCTGGACTGTTCTGGTTTCTCGTGGAACACAAAATGGTGGAAAAAGGAAAAAAAGGTTGGGATAGAAACGTTTTGAGCTTGGTTTGAGTTGTTCTGGTTTCTCAGGGAACACCAGATGGTGGAAAAAGGAGAAGCCTTGGAATAGAAACATTTTTAAGCCCCATTTGGTGCCTGGTTTACGACCTGTCCCTCCATCCCAGGAGGGCGATTTTGGGCTCAGATTTGGGCTGTTCCCCCTGTTTTTCCTGGAGACGGAGCTGGCAGTGCTGAGCTGGCGTGTCCCGGCAGGTCCGTGTACGATGGCGAGGAGCACGGGCGCTTCATGGAGAAGCTGGAGGCGCGGATCCGCAACCACGACCGCGAGATCGAGAAGATGTGCAACTTCCACTACCAGGGCTTCGTGGATTCCATCACCGAGCTCCTCAAGGTCCGGGGGGAAGCCCAGAAACTCAAGGTGAGAGAAAATCCTGCCCTGACGCTGCCCTGGGCAGCTCTTTATAGGTGGCTGCATCTCTGGGATTTTCTGGAATCACATCAATCTTCTTTTATCTGGAATTTTTCTACTTAAAAAAAAAAAAAAATTAGAATATTTATTATATATTAGAAATATTTATTTTAAATTCTTCCTGGAGAAATGGGTTGGTCATTGAAAATTTGATAATTATTTGGCCAAACTGGACCAGAGTGGTGCATTTAAAGCACCGAGAAACTTAAAGCTTGTTTTCATTAGGAAAAGTGCTTTTCCTCATGGATCTCGTCCCAGTTTCTTGGGCTAAAATAAGTCTTGTGGCCTTTAAAACTGTGCAGAAAGATGAGGGAAAGGTGGGATTTACCCAGCTCTTGGAAAAGTGCTCAGTAATGGGTGGAAAAAGCCATTTGTAGGATGAGAATGTGGAAAAGGGGCTGGAAGGAAACTGGAGAGGCTTCGGGAAAAGGGAGCAGGAGGTTGGAGGTGTTTGGGGTCAGGTGGGATTGGGGTTCAAGCTTTCATAAAATACAAATATTCCAAATTTGGGGAGCACATGAGCATCAAAACCTTCGTGGTTTTCCTCCCTAAATCCACCCGTGGCGGGGAGGGGCGGCTGGGCCGTTCCTTCCTGCCGGAACAAGGCGGGGCCGGGGTTGGAAATCCCAAAAAACCTCCCAGAGGAGTCGCTCGGAGAGTGGGGCTGAGTCGTGCGGCTCCCAAAACGTTGTGGGATGTCCCCAGGGAGCAGCACAGGGAGATTTTCTGGCTGAGTGGAGCCTGTCCTGTCGGGAAGGACCTTCCTGGGAATCAAAGAGGACTTTCCTGGTGTTCAGGAGTGTGGGAGACCGTTCCGTGTGCACTGGAAAAGCCAAAGTTCTAAATCATGAAATCTGTCAGAAAAAGCGAATTTTCTGGAAAAAAGGGAAGAATTGGAAGTCAAGGTGCTGACTGCTGCTTTTAACACCTTTGTTCACTGATTTAAAGCTACCTGGGGCATTTCCAGCAGGATTCCTGCTTTCTCCACCCCAAAAAGTCCTCTCAGGAGCACCTTCCTGAGGAGAATCCATCCAGCAATTCGTGGCAGGATGAAACCATTGGAGTTACCATGAAATAAGTCCTTTTTTCCCTTCTTCTTTTTTTTTTTTTTTTCCCTTTTCCCAATTTTTCCAAGCCATTGTTTCCAGCCAAGAATTGCACATTGTTTGTTTGCTCGGAGCTGGTTCCCATTCTGCCCCAACCCCTTTGTTGGTGGCTCACTGTGAAGTCCATCCCTGTCCCCTCAGGATCTCCCTTGATTTCCGTGCCGACGCGATCCATAAAACAGCACATGGCGAAAACGTCCCCGGCGAGTCCTTTCTGGAAGCTCTTTGTGAGGCTTTCCCCGGGGAATCGGCCGTGGATCGAGCGCTGAGCGTGGCTTTGCTCCCAGCCCTTCTTCCTCCATTTGATCTCGGGCTCTTCTCCCCGGGGCTGCGCTTTGAAGAGGCGCTGGCAGCGGGGCCCTCCCTGCTCCTCCCGCTCCTCCCGCTCCGCTCGCGTGCTCCTGGCGCTGCTCCGCGGGCTGCACAGGGAATATGGGATGTGGGGATGGCATATGGAATATAGTCTGTAATGTATGGGATATGGAGATATGGAATATAGTCTGTAATGTATGGGATATGGAGATGGGATATAGTCTGTAATGTATGGGATATGGAGATATGGAATATATTCTGTAACATATGGGATATGGAGATGGGATATAGAGATGGGATATAGAATATAGACCGTAATGTATGGGATACGGAGATGGGATATAGAATATAGTCTGTGATGTATGGGATATGGACATATGGAATATAGTCTAATATATGGGATATAGAGATGGGATATAGAATATAGACTGTAATGTATGGGATATGGAGATGGGATATAGAATATAGTCTGTGACATATGGGATATGGAGATGGGATATAGAATATAGTCTGTGACATGGGATATGGAGATGGGATATAGAATATAGTCTGTGACATGGGATATGGAGATGGGTTATAGAATATAGTCTGTAATGTATGGGATATGGAGATGTGGAATATAGTCTGTAATATATTGGATATAGAGATGGGATATAGAACACAGTCTGTGACATATAGAATATAAAGATATAGAATATAGTCTGTAATGTATGGATATAGAGATATGGAATATAGTCTGAAATATGGGATATAGAATATAGTCTGTGATGTATGGGATATAGAGATGGGATATAGAATATAGTCTGTAATGTATGGGATATAGAGATGGGTTATAGCCTGTAACATATGGGATATAGAGATATAGAACAGTATAGATTCTGTAACATATGGGATATAGAGATGGGTTATAGTCTGTAACATATGGGATATAGAGATATAACACAGAATATATTCTATAACATACAAGATATATAGCTATAAATAGAATACATTCTAGAACATACAGCATATAGAGATATAGCACAGAATATATTCTATGACATATAGGATATATAGAATATATTCTAGAACATCTAGCATATATATATGTAGAGTATATTCTATAACATATAGGATATATAGCTGTAACACAATATATTCTATAACATACAGGAAATATAGATATATCACAGAGTATATTCTATAACATATAGGACATGAAGATATAACAGAATATGCTATGATATAACATATAGGATACAGAGATATAACACAGAATATAGTCTATAACATATAGAATCTATAGATATAACACAGAGTATATTCTTTAACATACAGGATATATAGATATAACATGGAATATGTTCTATAACATATAGAATATATTGATATAACACAGAGTACATTCTTTAACATATAGGATATATAGATATAACGGAATGTGTTCTATAACATATAGAACATATCAATATAACACAGAGTATGTTCTATAACATGTAGAATATAGCATGGAATATATCTTATAACATATATAATATATAGATATAACACAGAATATAGTCTCTAACATATAGAATATATTGATATAACACAGAGTATATTCTATAACATACAGGATAGATGTAACATGGAACATATCCTACAACATATAGAAAATATGACACAATGTTCTATAACATATAGAATATGTAGATATAACATGGAATATATCCTATAACATGCAGAATATATATAGATATAACATGGACGATATCCTATAACATACAGGATATATAGTTATAACACAGAATATAGTCTATAACATATAGAATATATAGATATAACATTGAATATGTTCTATAACATAGAATATATTGATATAACACAGAGTGTGTTCTATAAGATATAGAATATTACATGGAATATATCCTATAACATACAGGATATATAAATATAACACAGAATATAGTCTTTAACATATAGAATCTATAGATATAACACAGAGTATATTCTGTAACATACAGGATATATAGATGTAACATGGAACATATCCTATAACATATAGAAGATATAACACAGAATATTGTCTATAACATATAGAATACATAGATATAACACAGTATATTCTATGACATACAGGATATATAGATGTAACATGGAATATATCCTATAACATACAGAATATATATAGACAGAGCATGGACGATATCCTATAACATATATATAGGATATATAGATATAATACAGAATATAGTCTCTAACATATAGAATCTATAGCTATAACACAGAATGTAGTCTCTAACATATAGAATCTATAGATACAACACACAGTATATTCTATAGGAGAGCAGCTGCTGGTGTGTGAGCAGAGCTCGGCTCCGCGGATGTGTCGCCCTGGTGCTCCCCGAGGGGCTCTGCTGGCCCCGGATGAGCCAAAGCTGAGCAGAACCTCAGCAATTTCTGTCCCGTTTTTCCCTGGGAACACCGAGAGCCGGATTGGGAATTTCATCTCCTTGAGCTGGACACGAGCCTGGGGTGCCCAGGTGGGCAAAGGGCCACTGGAGGCTGCTGGTCCCTGGGGTGGCAGCAGGGCCAGGGCAGTGCCCGTCCCCTGTGCTGGGGCACCCCCAGTGCTGGGACAGCTCTGGACAGCCCTGGAGGGGCTGGAGCGTGGCCAGGGAAGGGAACGGAGCTGGGAAGGGGCTGGAGAATTCCTGAGGGAGCTGGGAAGGGGCTGGAGAATTCCTGAGGGAGCTGGGAAGGGGCTGGAGAATTCCTGAGGGAGCTGGGAAGGGGCTGGAGAATTCCTGAGGGAGCTGGGAAGGGGCTGGAGAATTCCTGAGGGAGCTGGGAAGGGGCTGGAGAATTCCTGAGGGAGCTGGGAAGGGGCTCAGGCTGGAGCAAAGGAGGCTCAGGGGGAATTTCTGGCTCTGCACAAGTCCCTGGCAGGAGGGGACAGCCGGGGGGGATTTGGGATCTGCTCCCAGGGAACAGGGACAGGAGGAGAGGGAACGGCCTCAGGGGAGCTCAGGGTGGATATTGGGAATATTCCTACATGGAAAAGGTGCCCAGGGAGGTTTGGAATTCCCATCCCTGGAGGGTTCCAAAGCCCCTGGATGTGGCACTCGGGGACAGGGGCAGTGCTGGCCCTGGCAGGGCTGGGGATGGTTGGGCTGGATGAGCTTTTCCAACCATGATGATTTTGGGATTCTGTGATTTTCAGCAAAGGAGCTGCCCTGCTGTGGCTCAGCAGAGTTACATTCATGCTATGGACAGAACGATGGGATCTTGGCAAGGAATTCCTACCTGGGAGGGTGTGGAAGGGCTGGTCTGGAATTCCCAGATTTGCTGGGGCTGCCCCTGGATCCCTGGGAGTGCCCAAGGCCAGGCTGGACATTGGGGTGGATCCACCTGGGACAGCGGGAGCGTCCCTGCCCATGGGTGGGATGGGATGGAATAGGATGGGATTTAAGGTCCCCCCCAACCCAACACAACCCAACCCAGCCCAACCCAACCCAACCCCACCCAACCCAACCCCACCCAACCCATTCCATGATTCTCTCATTCAGCTGT